TCCATAATTACCGACTATGAACAATTTATGATTACTATTTATATTCATGTATTGATCGTCATCGTATACATATATAAATATCTCTTGTAATCAAGTGGACACTATCAATTCTATAATACATTGAATTCACCAATTGTATAAAGTATAAATATTTCAGAAACGTCAGAACATATGTTACTATAATCCAAATAAGAATTTGCTATGCCATGGTATAGAAATCCCAATAGAGGATCTATGGAAACGAAATGACTTTGAAAATAATAGCTAAGATTGAGAAAATAGAAAAAGAAATAAGTTGAATGGTAGATAATAGAGATGTATTAGATGTGATGAATGGTAGGAGTTGGGGTATTTACTGAGATTTTAAAATTTTTAATTAATTTTTTTTTTTGAATAAAGTTAAAAAAAATTGAATTTTTAAACTTTGTTTTTAAAAATTATAGATGTTAAGGTACTGTTTGGTATTGTAGAAATAGTGCCTTAACGGCTAAATACACTATTTAGCCTACACATTTCAAAATTTAAAGCAAATTTTTTTTTAAAAAAGACCAAACTTTAAGGGGGAAAAAAAAAAAAAGGTTTTTAAATTTATTTTTGGCCCAAATTTTTTTTTTGGACAAACAATGCCTAAATAATATTTATTTAATGAATTTTATTTTACTTTTTTCCCAAAAAAGAGCTCTAAATAACCTATTTTTAGGTTTTTTTCAAAAAAAAAAATTTCTGCCAAACACTATTTGGTACCGTACAGAGCCGTTGCAGAATAAAACAAAAAGGCCTAATGTAAAACGGCGCCGTTTTGCATTAGGAAAAAACAAAAAAAAAATTACGAAGATCGTGGACCACTCGCTGAATAGTGCGAGCCGGATCGCGATCGCTAATGGACCTCATTAAATTTAATTAGCGCCGTTTGGCTTTAGGAAAAAATAAAAAAAAAATTACAAAGATCGTGGACCACTCGCTGAATAGTGCGAGCCGAATCGCGATCGCTAATGGACCTCATTAAATTTAATTAGGTTGCTGCACAGCCTTTAGTGCATTGGCTCGCCCAAAATGGGCTTTGAAGAGTCCGGTGCAGCTGCCCTTAGTGTAAGTCTATGATACGGAACACATGGGAGGAGGGAGGCGGCATGGTTAGAAACTTAGGTAATAGTGTAATTCGGTAATAGGTAGGTTTAATGGTTTATGTTTACATTGGTTATTCAACTTATTTGGTTTTAACTTTTTGTTTTGTAGTTTACAGTGGACAATATGTCTTTTTGTGCCTTTATGTTTACTAAGACACTATCGTGGAGCTTTTAAAAAACAAAAAAAAAAATTTGTCTTTTTTTAAAATAACAGACACCAAGTCGACCACTGGCAGACAAACTGACAATTTGTATTATGTATACAATTAAATATATACTCATATATATATATATATATACGGTTCGAATATTTTCGATTTTCACAAGTTTGAAACTGGAGCCGAATCGTTTTGACAATATGTCTTTTTGTGCCTTTATACATTTTTTTTTCCTTTTCGGAAAGTGTGCCTTTATGCATTTACTAAGACACTAGCGTGGAGCTTTTCAGGAAAAAAAAATAATAATAAATTCACAAGTTTGAAACTGGAGCCGAATCATTTTGACAATATGTCTTTTGGTGCCTTTATACATTTTTTTTTCCTTTTCGGGAAGTGTGCCTTTACGCATTTACCAAGACACTAGCGTGGAGCTTTTCAGAAAAAAAAAAAATAATAATAATAATAAAAAAAAATAATAATAAAATTGCTTTAAAAAAAAAAGACAGTAAGGTGGACCACTGGCAGACAAACTGACAATATGTACGTAGTATTATGTATGCAATTAAATATATACTCAAATATTTATATACTTAAATATATATATATATACACACATATTTCGAACCGTAGATGAATGGCTCCTAATATTTAAAATCAGGATCAAGATCAAGATCGAAGCCATGAGAATTGAAGCAGAAATTTCAATTCAGTTCAATTCCACGGTGCTTCCCACTGAAGCCCCAATTCGATTCGATCCCATAATTTTTTTTTTGTACATCCCTACTAATTGACTCTGGTATCTTAAGTGGTAATTATCTCCGGTGTCTTATGAAACATCATATTTGAGGTTTGATTCTCACATATTTGTGATTTGTACTATTGTAACATTGTAACTTTTTAATATTATTATTCAAGTAAAATAGAAATAAATAGTGTGAGCATATATCAGGACATAGTGCCATATACAGTACGTGGTAGATATTGGGTGCAGCTTATCTTATACCCATTCAATGAAAATGTACTATTAAAAAAAAAAAAAAAAAAAAAGGATAAAATATAATTACACCATTTAACAAAAGGATATTCAAATGAAACTTATTTATATTTTGGACAAAGACATTCCTTAAAGGTTCAAATTTGGACAAAGACACCCCTTTTACATAAGAAATTGACCAAACTATCCTTTGACCGTTTAGGAGACTTTTTTGATTTTATAATTTAATAAATTGGACCAATCTACCCTCATGAACAATTTATACATAAAAAAAAGTAAAAAAAAACACTTTATATTGTTTACTTTTTTTTTTTTTTTTGGTTATTTACTTTATAAATGTCCCAACTTCCTAAAAATGTAGACGTCTAAAATGATTTTTTGATCCAATACATATATTTCAAATAAATTATATTTTGTTATTACTTCTTTTTTTTTTTTTTTTTTTTAATTAAGATGCTTAATTTTTTCATGTAAAAAAATTAAACCAATCTCTTTTCCTTAAAAATAAAAAAATATGCTACCAGTATAACTTTATGCATATTAAATTATATATCAAATATTATGCACTTCCCAACATAAAAGAAAATAGGTACCAGTATAACTTTATGCATGCCTTTGTTTTATTATTATTTTTTTTTCCCTTTGTTTTATTATTATTATTTTTTCCCTTTTTATGTTGAAAAATGCATAATATTTGATATATGATTTAAGATGCATAAAGTTCTATTGATACCGTATTTTTTATTTTTAAGGAAAAAAGATTGGTTTAATTTTTTTAGACGAAAGAATTAAGTATCTTAATTTAAAAAAGAAAAAGAAAAAGAAAAAGATGTAATAACAAAATATAATTTATTTGAAATATATGTATTGGATTAAAAAATAATTTTAGACGTCTATATTTTTAAGAAATTGAGACATTTATAAAGTAAATAACAAAATAAATAAATAAATAAAAATTATAAAGTTTTTATTTTTTATTTTTATGCATAAATTGTTCATGAGGATAAATTGGTCCAATTTATTAAATTGTAAAGTTAAAAAAGTCTCACAACGGTTAAAGGGTAATTTGATCAATTTTTCATGTACAAGGGTACCTTTGTCCATTTTTGAAACATCATAGGATGTTTTTGTTCAAAAAACTGATAAGTTTTCTCTGGGTATTTTTTTTGCCAAACCTCAGTGTGATTGTACTTTACCTTAAAAAAAAAAAAAAAAAAAAAAAAAAATCAAGTCTACTTATTTATAAAATTACTAATAGTCAAATAATATATTATATTTAATTGAGCGCGTTACGAGACACTCCTCTAATTATAATTATTTTAACGTGTCTACCGCGTTATGACTTCAGAGACACACCTCTAACTATAATTATTATAGGATAATACTTGGATGTTTGACGAACCTCATCCAATTTGCTTATGTGGTCCAATCAATTTGCGACAGGTTTCTAAAATTAATATGAAATTAAGTTAGGCAGCCCATCAATTTCAGCCTTTCAGGTATAACCAATTTTTTTTTTCCTTCTCGTCTCTCCTAAAATCTACAGCGGCGCCTTCTTCCTCCTCCCACTCGACGAACACGCGCCGGCCGGGGGAAGTGGATCAGAAGATGAGAATTTCATATACTTGTGCAGCATAAGTGGATCAGAAGATCGGAAACAAAGATATAACTAAACAAGATTAACAGAAATACAAAGTATAAAGGTACAAGCTGGTGTGAGATTGGTCATGGCAGAACCAAGAGTCGGAGAAGCATACTTTTATCCCTTTGTCAATTTTTCTATAGCAATGAATTACACAATTAATATTTTTGTACCCAAGAACTCCAAGGAGGCAGATTCTACCCACAAGAAATTTGTCAAATGGAGGAAGTGGTGTTTTTCTGCAGAAAATGAATAACATACTCACTTGGTCTGTCAACATACTCACATCACGATCGAAGCTCGGAGCCTGTTTTGCAATAGCCGAAGAAGATGGGGCGCGTGTGCGCGTGACAAACGCGTTAGATATACTCGCATGAGCGAGTGACGGCGAGTGGTCGGCGATGTTCAGTCAGGCGATGGTGGTCTGTGCTGGAAGTTCAGTCCGGCGGAGATGGTGGCGATAGTGGCCTGCGAATACGACTCTCTCTCTATTCAGATGGGGGTGGTAGATGAAGGGACTGCTATTTGGGTATGTCCGAGACTAATTTGGTCTCGCCGCTGCTGTGCGTGACCGGTGGATCCAAACTTCCCCCGCCGGCTAGTGGGCTGCGAGCAGACCCGATCGTGTTCGTCGAGTGGGAGGAGGAAGAAGGCACCGCTGCAGATTTTAGGAGAGACGAGAGAAAACAAAAAAAAATAGGGTTACACCCGAAAATTAATGGGCAATGCCCAATTTAATTTTATATTAATTTTAAACACGTGTCGTAATTTGATTGGATTTCATAGGTAATTGATTTAATTTTATATTAATTTTAAACACGTGTCGTAATTTGATTAGATTACATAGGCAGGTTGGATGTGGATTGTATCCGAGTATTGTCCTTATTTTTATTCAGGTTCAGTACAATCAAAACAACTCTAAATGTAGTAATGTTTTAGCCAAGGACCGAGCATAAAGTCATGATGTTGGGTCCACCATTGTAATTGTCAGTGTGTAGCAGCTCTTCTTTTTGACTGCTGACCCCATGTATGAGAGTTGAGATGTGTAAAAGGACCGCCACTTGAGACTTGAGATGCCTAATTTCTTTCAAAGTCAATGGCATTCTGTCTTTTGATCTGATCGACTCAGCTTTAAAAATGGTAGCTTCCTGTATTTACGATGTGTTCTTGTCTTTCAGCGGTGTTGATAGTCGGAAGAAATTCACGGGCCACCTCTTGGCCGCTTTGGAGCGCCATGGTTTTTACACATTCAGAGATGACACGAAACTCACACGAGGAGAAGAAATTGGTCCGGGATTGCTCCAAGCAATCGAGCAATCTAAGGTTTCTGTTATCATATTCTCCGAAAACTACGCATCCTCGAGATGGTGCCTTGATGAACTTAAAAAGATCATGGATTGCAAGAGGACACTTAATCACATTGTTATTCCCATCTTTTATGATGTCCAACCCATCGACGTTCGCTCACAGATGGGTTGCTATGCAGAAGCATTTGCCAATCACGAAAAACGGTTCAACTTGGAATCAGTGAAGAAATGGAGGTTGGCTCTAGCTGAGGCTGTCAATTTGTCCGGTTACGTCCTCCAAAATGTGGCCAACGGGTACTTAATTCTCTTTCTTCTCTTCAAAAAAGCAATCTAAAACATTACCAGTTGGATCACTTGTTTACTTTCATCTTCCACCTCTCTGCATATAATAATTGCTTAGTTTCATTTAAAAAAAAAACATAAATATTGCAGGTGTGAGTCGAAGTTTATTGAGATTGTTGTTGGAGAAGTCGCACAAAAATTAAATCCTACATGTTTAAGTGTTGCGGACTACCCAGTTGGAATACAGTATCGTGTTCAACAACTAAGTGAGTTTCTAAAGTTGGGGTCAAATAGAGATGATGTTAGGATTGTTGCCATATGGGGGATTGGGGGAATAGGTAAGACTACAATTGCTAAGGCAATGTATAATCGCATACATCGTGAGTTTGAAAGCAGTAGCTTTCTTGCAAATGTTGGACGAACTTCGAAGCAACCTAATGGCCTTGTTAAATTACAAGAAAAGCTTCTTTGTGATCTCCGGATGGGTGAAAATCATGGAATAAGAAGCGAGGATGATGGAATCGAAGTAATAAAACGGCGAGCATGGTGTCGAAGGGTTCTTCTTGTTCTTGATGACGTGGATAACATCTCCCAATTGAGGGCATTGGCCATAAGTCATGATTTGTTAAGTCCGGGAAGTAGAATCATAGTAACAACTAGAGATTTGTCTGCAATAAGTTCACTTCGACTTCGAGTGGATGAGATGTATAAGCTGGATGAGTTGAATGAGGAGGAATCTCTTCAACTCTTCAAGTGGCATGCCTTTAGGAGAGACCGTCCTGTAGAAGACTATGAGGTCCTCTCTAAGGAAATAGTGACATATGCTAAGGGGCTTCCTTTAGTTCTTGAAATTTTAGGTTCCTTTTTGTCGGACAAAACCGTACCTGAATGGAGAAGTAAATTGAAGAAGTTGAAAAAGATTCCTCATAATGATGTTCAAGGACAACTTAGGCTGAGCTTCGACTCACTTGATGTTGAACAAAAGGGTTTATTCCTACATATTGCATGTTTTTTTGTTGGAATGGACCAAGATTTTTCCATCAAAATATTAGAAGGCTGCGGTTTCTTCCCAGAATGTCAAATTGGGGTTCTATCTCGTCGTTGTCTTGTTAGCATTGATGGGCGCAACCAGCTGGTGATGCATGATTTGATTCAAGACATGGGTAGAGAGATTGTCCGTCAAGAATCCCCTGAGATGCCCGGCAAACGTAGTAGACTGTGGTATTATGAAGACATTCTAGATGTACTGAGAAATAACACAGTAAGAGCCCAATGCCTAAATTAATTACATATCTTGTCAGTGTAAAAATGCCATAGTACACTACACATCATGAAAGTCACACAATCTAGGATGTGAACTTATTTTCAACGCAATATGACATATATATACAAATATTTATATTCTTATATCTACAACTTTTTATTATCATCAGGGGACAGAAGCAGTTCAAGGCTTAGTCCTGAACTTGCCAAGGTCAGAGGAACTACGATTAAATTGGAAGGCATTCACAAAGATGGAGATGCTGAGACTGCTTCAACTCGATTTTGTTCATCTAAGTGGAAGCTACGAATATCTTTCTGGTAGACTAGTATGGCTATCTTGGAAAGGATTTTCTTTAACATGCATTCCATCAACCATTATTATGGATAACCTGGTTGCCATTGACTTGAGCCATAGCAAGCTTAAACAAGTTTGGAGAGGAACTAAGGTACGATGATACTACTGTTCTCATCTCCTTCAAACTTAGTTAGTAGTATGACATGCATTGAAATTTATTTTATGTTTTTGTTGCTGACAGGTTATGTGCAAATTGAAATACCTCAATCTTAGTCATTCCATTTTCTTGATCAGAACTCCAGACTTCACGGGGTTAAACAGTCTTGAGAAATTGTTGCTGAGTGGTTGTACAAAGCTGGTAGATGTTAACCAATCTATTGGATGTTTGAATAGTCTTGTTGTCTTGGATCTGAATAACTGTGAGAATCTTGAGAAGATACCCTTGAGCATTTTCATGTTGAAGTCTCTCATTGATGTCAATCTGTCGGGCTGCTCCAAATTACAGTGGCCAACATATTTTCAGAGATCGTCGCTAGAATCAAGCATTTTGTCGTTACAGTTTTCAAGTAGGATCAGGAAATTAGCTATGGAAGGCTGCAATATAACACATGTGCCCATCGAAATTGGTAGTTTGATGTCCTTGGAATTTTTGAATCTAGGCAGAAACAATTTTTCTAACCTACCAGCTACCATCGCTAACCTTCCGACACTGAAGGTCCTCCTTGTGAACATGTGTAGTAGGCTTGAATCGATTGGGGCGCTTCCAGTAAATTTATTGGGGTTGAGTGCACACTACTGCACCTCATTGCAAAGCGTATCAATGGAATCAAAAGCAGCAGAAGCAGTATTCATGGCTTGTTTCCATTGTCCCAAATTAGTCAACAACAATTTTACATATAATTTTAGAAGAAATATACTCCATTATGCGGTACGCTACTCTCTCTTTACACACACACACACGCACACACATAGTACTAGATATCAATCAAGCCTGAGCTCGCTGGTCCAATGCAGGGACTGGATGAAAAAAGACAGTATAATATTGTTGTTACGGGGAGTGAGATTCCGAGGTGGTGCAACAACCAGAGGGATGGAAATGTTGTACGTTTTCGGGTGGATCGGATGATACAAGGGTTTATTCTCTGTGTTGCTTTTTCTGGCCGCTATAATCAATCTACTAGCCGTCTTAGTTTTATACCTGATTTGTTTAATATAACCGAGGGAGATTTATCTTCACTCGCCGGAGATATGGTTGGTTTTGATCATCCAAAATGTGAAGATCATCCAAGTTTTGAAGATCAGATGTGGCTCTCCTACGTACCAAACCAGACTGAAGGGCCGGATAGTACTTTTTTTTTTGATGGAGAGGAAGTGGAAATAACGACAAGGACGTGGACATCAGACTTGCGGGTGAACAAGTGTGGGGTTAGTTTGGTTTACGAGGACGATGAGAAGGATACCGACACTTCTGCTGAAGATGTTCCTCGAGTTGATGAAAATGTGCTTGCGGTAAAGCCGGTTAGGGATTCCAATATTCTTCTTAACGCTGGTATTTTTACTGGATCAGTCTCATTCGTTGGGTAAATGTCCTGAACTCAATAAACCTCCATTATATTAAAAAGAAAAAGAATGATTCTAAAAACAATTAAAAAGAATATTATTCATGAAGGAAATCATGGATCCCATTTTGGTTGCTGAAATGTCAAAAAAAAACCACCCACTACAACCAAAATGGTTTTTTATCACATTTTATTTACCACATTTAAACTTATAACCTGGTAAAAGAATAAAAGTTTCTTTTTTAAAACCAAATTTTATACTAACAATTAAAAATAAATGACAAATAATTTTTTGAAAGGGAACTTCATATTTACTACATATTTTTTTTTTAATCACTGAGTTTAATTAATGTGTTTAAATAGTGTTTGATTTCCCAACTCAAATTAGAATAATAAATCACATGACTCACTTTTTTCCTTCAAAAGGTACTTAAGTCACTCCAGAAAAGCAATGCAGAAGAAACTTGAGTCTTCTCCACGAGAAAACCCTAATTGATTGAGCGTGGATTGCTGATTTTGCTTCGATTGAGCATCGATTTTCTATAATTGATTGTGAGCCTACTATCAAAATATGTACATCTCAGAGTTTGAGCTTCGTAGTATTTCAAAGAGCTTTATTGGGATTGTATCGTCACAATCACCATCTTTATATTGTTCTTGGTCTTTGCCTTGCTGTCCGTCCTTCGATCATTGGCAGAATTTTAATTAGAACATCTGCAACTTCTGGTAAGTTGGTCTCCTTGGATCATAGGCAGCTATGGATTATGTAGGTTTCAATTTTTGTGTTTCACAATTGGTTCATTAACAAAGCAAATTACTATATTATGTTGAAATCAAACCTAAAAATGAATTCATTTTAAGAAATTAAGTGCAGCTTTAACACATAGAACCCTATAGATATTATCAGCTTCAGTTCGTGAATAAAAAACTTCATTTAGGTTCAATTCTTCTGAACTCTAATTTTGTATTCTGTATATGTACATTAGAGGTGAAATTTTCTATTGCACTCCGTTCAGTTGCTAACAAAAAGTTGATTATTATTATTGATAGTATCATTTTATTAGATATATTTTGAATATGAAATATGGATTAATTATATCACGATGTTATATATTTTCAGTTTGAAACGGATGTAAGCATTTGAAATCAATAATTTAGAGACAAGAAGACTTTAGGAATCACTCTTTTGAGCTTCCAGACACTAAATATAAAATATTTTAGTCCTGATCATCTAACTCATTATCCATAATGACTGCATCCTAAATTCACTTGTATAATCAGACTTTTTCTAGTCCACATTCTATATCATGTTCATATTTAATCATCTCAAGCAAATTTATAGTGGAAATTATTTTTCTACACGATTGACTTCAATGATCAATGGTTATACATTAACAGTCTCTAGTGTTTGTTGCTCCTCTTTTCCAATGATTATAAAGTTTTTTGTTTTTGAATTTCAACGTCCATTAATGACTTTATTTACTTATTATTATTTATTTTTGCAGGAGGAAAAATAGTTAATGCTTGAAGGGTTTGTTGGTGGTGCCTTTGAAGTGTTTTTTTTTTTTTTTTGGGTGGTGGTGTCTTTTGTATGTTGTACGGACCTTTTGTGGTGGTGTCTTTTGGATGTGTTGTACGGTCCTAGTGGTATGTAAATGTAATAGTAGTAGTAATGGTTTTGTGTATATTTGACCTATGCTTTTGTGTGCCAAGGAACCTGAATTTCTATTGCACTCCGTTTAGTTGAATGTGAAAGTGTGGGTTAGTCTGGTTTACAAGCATCGCTCAATCACTACTGCCCCATCATATGTTCCTCCATTTGACGAAAATTTGCTTGCAGGCAAGTCGGTAACGGATTATAAAATTCTTTGGGAGGCTCATATTTTTAACCATATGGTGGTATATGGAATATCGTGCTTTGGGTTAATTTCACTAAATCTCCCTGTATTATATACACACACACACAACTGTTTCCTACCTAATCAGCCTGAAGAATCATGGTTGTTTAGTTGAACAATTTGGTTGCCACTAATGTTCTCCAAATTTCTTCGAAATTGAACAAAGGCATATTCATGGAATCATGCGATCCCCTCTTCTGATATGTTCTGTATTTAGGTGATGCAGGGGTCGATTGTTTGGTTTATGCGACACAACATATTAGTTACAATTTTAGGCTTTTAAATTAATCTTTCTAAGGCGATGGTGCAGCTCCATAACCAAACGACCTTAAATGAAAGTTTTGTTAGGTAAGAGGGTTATTTGTTGGTTCAGTGAGTATAATATGATTATTTTTATATTACAGGGGATTTTATGAAATTAACCACATTTTAAGTAGCAAGAAATAAAAGATCTATCTCTCTAATAATGCTAATTGTCTAAGGAAATTTCATTAAATTTGGGAAGTGGAGTATTGAAGTCTCCCTAAAAGTATTCTGGGACTTAATTGTTCCAAAAAAATAAATTTTAAAACCAACTTAAATAACCAAGTTCATTTAAGGATCGTCCAATTTTTTTGGAGGGTATTTTGGTAATTTTCGCACTTGTTATGTTCCCCTAATGCGATGATATTTATTAAATATTACGAACTCTCTTGTTTTTTTATCATCGTAGTGAAAATTCCTGCAACTCTTAGATGTAACTCTGAATTTTGAATGAATCAAGTAAAATCTGTGTGTTCTTGTAGTATATGTGTTTGACCTATTTCTTGTATTTTTTGTTTAATTTCGCAATAATTCATTCGTCTTTCTTTATAAAGTGTTGCCTCACGTAATGGTATGCAAATGAATATAAAAAATAACATTTGTATCCAATTCATCTCCCCAAACACTAGAGATTAATTAAATGAAAACTAATAACTGGTTAGCTTACTCTGATCATGCATGTAATGAACACATGGATTATTCTCTCTTTTTTATTTTATATTGTCCTTATCTAATTTGATTTTCAATCTATCTTTTTTCCTGTATTATATATGGATTATGTGTTTTTTAAATTTTGATCAACAATTTTGATTTATAAACTAAATTCTCTAAATTTAAAATTTTTACTGATAAATTACATTGACTTATCCTGAAATTTGTTTATATGGTTTTAAAAATTACTCTATCCTCTCCTAAAAATAAACCAAGTAATAGGAATTTTATTTTTTAATGGTCAGCTCTAGTCAAAGACGAAAATTGTTTATGTCACGCACTTAAATTAGTAAATTGTCAATATTGCCCGGTTATCTGATGCAGGCAGACTTCAGTTAATCAAATCTATCCTATGCAGGGCATCCATTTCTAAGTTCCTCAAGGCATATGTTCAAAATATGTGCACACATACCTTATCAAAAACAAGAGATTATGGTCGGTAAAAATACCTCAAAGATGCACTTGGGAGTTGGAGAAAGCTGCCCCAGCTGAGACACAATGCTGCCAAGTTGATTAGATTTAGAGTGGTCAATGGAAGGAAAATTATTTGCCACCCTTGACCAGTATGCAGTGGTCAGACGGATCAAAATCGTCTCTGGCACAACAGTAAATCTGTTGCAGCCGGTGCGTGATGTGTGGACTGGATGTTACCACGTCAGCTAGTCATAAAAGACAAAAATAAAGTAAATTGTTTTTTACTAAATACGTATTACAAGAGTGTATATAGAGAAAGTGCACTATTTGTATTTTTCTCGTCTTTGCTACACAGGGATACACAGGGATAGTGATTCCGGATGAACTGAAGAAGACAATTCCGAATTTGAAGCTGTCGATGGATGAACTGAAGAATCCTTCGATCCTGAGGAATTTGTTTCCAATGTTGAAGCTGTATGAAACCTAGAAGGTATGATTTGTATCAAAATTTGTCTTGTGAGTGGTTTTAGGGTTTCGTTTAGAGAGAGAGAGAGTAAGCTTCAATCTATTGTATTTTGTTCCCAATCTTGAAGCCGTATGAGACCAGCAAAGAAAAAGATCGAAACCCTCTCAAATCAGCTCTCTAATCCCCAAAATCTCCAATCAGAAATCCTAATTCAAACAGATATTTCAACCAAATCTATGGAGATGCAGGGTGTAAGGCTCGTAGGATGTTGAAAGCACTCCAATATAAGTGTAATAAGAAAATTAAGTCTCAAATTAGCTCTCCAATCCCCAAAATCTCCAATCAGAAACCCTAATTCGAACAGATATTTCAACCAAATCTATGGAGATGCAAGGTGTAAGGCTCGTGGGATGTTGAAAGCACTCTAATATAAGTGTAATAAGAAAATTAGGTGTGTTGTATGTTGTGTGTGAGAGAGAGTCATTTGGGTGTAATTTGTCTTTTTCGTTTGAAATGCCATATATATATATATATTTATTTATTTATGTTTATCGTATTTGCTGTGTTTTTATGCAAGTTAGTACAGGGCATTTTGTGGTCCCTGTTTGAACGCACATAAAAAACTTTTTCTCAGATGCTGTTCTCTTCTACAAGTGAAGCAATATTGCAGTTTCATCATTCTTGGCTTTTTCTTTTGATTTCTGAAGCATCAATTTCTTTCTACTATTAATTACCTTATTTATTCGGTGTGTATTAATTGGACAAAAAAAAAGGTCTGACCCCAGTAAACCTAATATACATCATTAATATATATCACTTTCAAGTAGTTGGATTCCATCCATTAACAAGTGAAAGTAGTTTTTAAACTTACTAGTCTTAATTGTAGGGCACAAGCCTCCTTATGAACGAATCAAGTTTGGGAATCACTCAGAATTATGGGGGAAAAAAATCAAAAAAAGAAAAAGAAAAAAGGAATTGAGGTAGAAATTAACTTCTAAATTCTTTTGTCTAGAAATTGCTATAAATTATTCAGTGGAAAAAAAGAAAAACACACAATTAACATATAGCAGGACACTTGCTTGTCTGAACAGAACATGGGGTTGAAAAATCTTTCCGTGGAGCTAATGCTGGTAGTTGGTCTATTTATTTATTTTTTTGCTGTTGAATTACTATGTTGTTAGGGTGGTAACCTCTTGGACCTTAGTTGTTAGTTTGTTGCCTATTTATAGATCTTAATTGTAACTCTTTGTGAACTAATGAAAGAAAATAAATCCAATATTTGATTTTATGGGTTTTAAAAAAAAATTCTCTTAGTTTTTGAATGAGAAATAGGGTTTGTGATGTAAATGAAGGAATTGAGTTATATGCCCCCATAGATTTTTATATTCCTTATAGGCTTGGGTTAATGTTATTATACTTTAATTTCATTATCTGGCTGTTCCTTTTTTTTTCCAACAAGAGGGTGCCTTTTTACAGAAGGATTGCGCTTTTAGTTTAATGTGAAACTTATGGTGGTCCTCCACGCTTGTTCGTGGCATGTAGACCACTAAAAGTTTACTTCGCTTTAGTGAAATGACCATTCATTTTTCCTCACATTTTATAAGACTATTCCTTTTTCCTCACATTTATAAGACTATCCATTTCTCCTTACATTCATAGAATTCTGAAAGGTGGAATGTTTTGAGAACTTATTCGGATTTGAATTGCTTTAGAAAACTTAGGTAAAATATTTCAATGATAAGAAAATATTGTTTGCAATGGGTGACTATTGTTTACTTGTGTATTTATTTATCTTTTACTTATATTTTTTTGAATTATCAAAAGATGATGGGGAACGACCTAGCAGCCCATCTGTAAAAAAGACTGAAGAGGAGGGTATTAAGGTAGTACATGAAGTCAAAATGCAAGCTTTATGTGAAGGTAATTATTAATGAGAATTTATGTGATATCATTATTCGAGAAGGTAATTAGTGAGGTGTGAGAGTGCATTTCTAGCCTGCCCTTACTTTTACTTTCAATTTCGATGTAGGAGACCAGCATGACAATGTTTACATTTTATGCACACACTCATATCATTAATTGTATTTATGAATTCCTGCAATAATCACACACTTATTAAGTTTTAAATTATGTATATAAAATTATAAAAATATAGGATACTTCTATTGTAATATTTCCATACATTGCAATCTATTCTTGTTGCTTAACTTATTTCTTCTTTCCTTTCTACTGTGTTTCAGGATTGGAGTAATTGAAAAATGTTTTTGTCAGGACACTATTGTGTAATTGCAATCCATCAAAAAAAAAAAAAAAAAAAAATTATATTAACTTTACCTGTCATTACAAATTGAAAAACCATATCTTTTAGGGTTGTAATGGGTAAGAAGACGGGAAAGAAAAAAATTCGAAAAAATAAGGTAATATTTTATATGATATGTGATTTTGTTTGAAAACATATAATACCTGATTCTTAAGAATAATTAATTTTTTAATTTAGAATGAAGAGTTCAAATTAAAAGCTGGGTGGCATAGATGCTCTTTGTCGAAATTCATTGAAGTAGTATCCAATCTGAACGAGGAAAAGAGGAAAAATGTTGAGGATATTGGTTTTGGCAATATGCTTAACCTGAAATGTTCATTTTTGTCAACTAAACTCTTCAATTACTTTGCAGAAAATTTTGATGGGCAAAAATGTCGGATTAGACTTCAATACTTCTCATTCTAAGATTTCCTAACCTATTAGCATCAGCAGAAGGCATAGTAGCCCATTTGTTTTTTAGTAATTTGAGTGAGAATAGAAGCTTTTTTATTCAAACCTACTGTTTTTTCATACAAATTCCTAAATCCCTCTAATCATAACTCAGGTATTAGTCGTGACAATCCCTGGTGTGACATTTCCCGAACATGAAAGAGTAACTAATCCCTTCCCAACACAGAATTTGAGCGAAGTGGTACACCATCCCAATATGTAATTGCACTATCAGACTCTA